TCTCAAGCTGTTTTTTTTGCACATAGTTAAACCCATGTCTGTGTTGTTCTCGAAATACATTCAAATATCGTTTACAGCTGCTATAGTGAAATTTATATGTTGCCAAACTAAAAAACTCATAAACACAAAACAGTACATACTGACCACATCATTAACAATGCAGAAATTATACATACCTAAACATTTGCTTAGGAGTCTCAAGGTAGCATGAATGAATGTATTTCCCAAGCTAAGAAAACTCCTTGTAAATATGAAGCAATACATCTTAACCACATCATTTACAATCCAAATTATTACATATACATTAGGGCGCCCAACGAAAATGCTTTTTTTTTTGGAAATTTCAAGACCCCACCCCCTAATTTGATTCGTTTTTATGAGTAATATTATTGGCTATTTTTATAGATTTTTTAAAAGTCATTTAGAGGTCGCGACCTGTCGATTTAGGTCAGAAAATAGGATTTTGCAGATTTATCAGTTTTTGAATGACTATTTTTGATTGTTTTGATATGCTATGAGAAGAGGATATATAGGCCTTTAAAATTGTATATAATAATCTATTGTCGGACTAGGCTTGTTGGGGATTTTTTATCGGGTAAATTAAAAAAATACCCAAATTTCTCTTAATTTTTTAAATTTTGACCATCGATAATTTCTACAATTTCAAAAGATGGAGTACTATCTAAAACTAAATCTATTTTTAAATAAACTGATACCTCATTTGTTGCAATCGCATATAAATTGTCGAATTAAGGCGACTTTTCTTAAATACGGCCTTGAATTTATATGCACTCACAAAAAGGTTTAGTTATAATTACCAAGATTTGGTTATAGTGACAAAGTGGCATAGTTGGATATGGCGAACTAAATATCTAGCTCACGAAAGTCTGCAATTTATTTGAGACTTCTAGTTGCGACAAATGTATATTTGTTAATAATTACAAAACGACTACCTTGAGTGGACAATATTGTTTGTTGAATAAAATCATTGTTGAGCAAATATAAACAGTGCTTTGGCTGATACAAGTTTTCAATTAATTTTGTGAACTTGCTGTAGACGTGAATCAGCTAACCGTTTATTATTGGAAAAAAAGTTTCAGTTTGATACAAATAAAAATTTACTCGATGGTTGTTGTGTTTATTTTCTTCTTTTATTTGCATATATTAAGCATAAAAAATACATACATATTTACATAAATTGTTACTAGTGTAAATAATACATATAACGGGTGATTTTTTAAGAGCTTGATACCTTTTTTTTTAAAAAAAACGCATAAAATTTGCAAAATCTCATCGGTTCTTTATTTGAAACGTTAGATTGGTCCATGACATTTACTTTTTGAAGATAATTTCATTTAAATGTTGACCGCGGCTGCGTCTTAGGTGGTCCATTCGGAAAGTCCAATTTTGGGCAACTTTTTCGAGCATTTCGGCCGGAATAGCCCGAATTTCTTCGGAAATGTTGTCTTCCAAAGCTGGAATAGTTGCTGGCTTATTTCTGTAGACTTTAGACTTGACGTAGCCCCACAAAAAATAGTCTAAAGGCGTCAAATCGCATGATCTTGGTGGCCAACTTACCGGTCCATTTCTTGAGATGAATTGTTCTCCGAAGTTTTCCCTCAAAATGGCCATAGAATCGCGAGCTGTGTGGCATGTAGCGCCATCTTGTTGAAACCACATGTCAACCAAGTTCAGTTCTTCCATTTTTGGCAACAAAAAGTTTGTTAGCATCGAACGATAGCGATCGCCATTCACCGTAACGTTGCGTCCAACAGCATCTTTGAAAAAATACGGTCCAATGATTCCACCAGCGTACAAACCACACCAAACAGTGCATTTTTCGGGATGCATGGGCAGTTCTTGAACGGCTTCTGGTTGCTCTTCACTCCAAATGCGGCAATTTTGCTTATTTACGAAGCCATTCAACCAGAAATGAGCCTCATCGCTGAACAAAATTTAAAGCGCGAAACACATTTCGAACCGAACACTGATTTTGGTAATAAAATTCAATGATTTGCAAGCGTTGCTCGTTAGTAAGTCTATTCATGATGAAATTTCAAAGCATACTGAGCATCTTTCTCTTTGACACCATGTCTGAAATCCCACGTGATCTGTCAAATACTAATGCATGAAAATCCTAACCTCAAAAAAATCACCCGTTATATATGGTGGTAAGAATTTCCTAAAAAGAAACGATGAAACAGGAATAGTCGTGCGAAAACCCAGGTCAATATCTGCTGGAAGTGCTGGTTTAAGTATACTGCATTGCTTTTTCCTTGGCTAAATAGATACTTTCAAATTATAATTCGCATGAATTATATATCCACTGATAAATCCCGGTTGGCATCAAACTTTATATTTTTAAATAACTATGCGCACACCGAAACATATACATTATTTACACTAGTAACAATTTATGTAAATATGTATGTATTTTTTATGCTTAATATATGCAAATAAAAGAAGAAAATAAACACAACAACCATCGAGTAAATTTTTATTTGTATCAAACTGAAACTTTTTTTCCAATAATAAACGGTTAGCTGATTCACGTCTACAGCAAGTTCACAAAATTAATTGAAAACTTGTATCAGCCAAAGCACTGTTTATATTTGCTCAACAATGATTTTATTCAACAAACAATATTGTCCACTCAAGGTAGTCGTTTTGTAATTATTAACAAATATACATTTGTCGCAACTAGAAGTCTCAAATAAATTGCAGACTTTCGTGAGCTAGATATTTAGTTCGCCATATCCAACTATGCCACTTTGTCACTATAACCAAATCTTGGTAATTATAACTAAACCTTTTTGTGAGTGCATATAAATTCAAGGCCGTATTTAAGAAAAGTCGCCTTAATTCGACAATTTATATGCGATTGCAACAAATGAGGTATCAGTTTATTTAAAAATAGATTTAGTTTTAGATAGTACTCCATCTTTTGAAATTGTAGAAATTATCGATGGTCAAAATTTAAAAAATTAAGAGAAATTTGGGTATTTTTTTAATTTACCCGATAAAAAATCCCCAACAAGCCTAGTCCGACAATAGATTATTATATACAATTTTAAAGGCCTATATATCCTCTTCTCATAGCATATCAAAACAATCAAAAATAGTCAGTCAAAAACTGACAAATCTGCAAAATCCTATTTTCTGACCTAAATCGACAGGTCGCGACCTCTAAATGACTTTAAAAAAATCTATAAAAATAGCCAATAATATTACTCATAAAAACGAATCAAATTAGGGGGTAGGGTCTTGAAATTTCCAAAAAAAAAAAAGCATTTTCGTTGGGCGCCCTAATGTATATGTAATAATTTGGATTGTAAATGATGTGGTTAAGATGTATTGTCTCATATTTACAAAGAGTTTTCTTAGCTTGGGAAATACATTCATTCATGCTACCTTGAGACTCCTAAGCAAATGTTTAGGTATGTATAATTTCTGCATTGTTAATGATGTGGTCAGTATGTACTGTTTTGTGTTTATGAGTTTTTTAGTTTGGGAAAAAAAGTAAATTAATGCATTTAATATCCGCATAGGCAACCTTGAAAACCTCAGTATCTTTACTACAATCATGGTTTCAAGTGAACAAAAGAACAAACAATTCGTTTGGTTTGTACTCAGCTGCAATTGAAACCGATTGTGTATTGCTAGTTATCGGGAACAATACATGAGGAAGACAAACTTTTCGTACTTGTTGTGGAAGTTGGTAGTGTTTGTTCTGTTCGGTTTGTTTACGTACTCTGGTGTCAACAGTTATTAATTGCGAGCTCTGTATT